GTGTCTGCAGTGATCACAACTCAACAGCTTAAACATTAGAAAAAGCTTCAGAAACATTTTTACATATCTCAATTACTGGACAGAGACAACATAAAACATACAACAGCATTCAAAATTGCCTCCACTTCTCCTAACTATTTTCCCTTGATCAGAGCATAGAAAAATACCTCCATACTAGGAAAAATAGAGGATAAACTAAATGCAACAAAAAATCTATATAATAAAGCTTTCAAAAATTACATATTTGCATCTATTTGAAAATATTGCATATTAAATTGAATAAATTTTATTAGAAAGATATTAAGTTATTACATAAAAAATAGAATAGAAATTAATTAACACAACACTTTACTTTTAAACACGTCTTCTTTTTCAATCATTTACTATTAAAATTTTGTATTTATTTCCAACCATTTAAGCTAATTTTTTCGCTTCCATTTTAAGAAAAAATTTATAGAAAAAATAAATTCTGCAGACAATCAAATCACAAAAACAACACGTCAGAAAACCTTCAATATTATATACAAATCTATACTTCTGCTGTACCCTGATAACTTTGACTACTTCCTCTCTAACTTCTTAACCTAGACCCATATTTTCAGGAAAAAGTACAAGATTACCTTTATCTTTCTTATCTTTCAATCTTATCTACATAAAAAAAGATCTAGAAATACTTCTATATATATACGTACCTTGCTACTTCACATTTACTTCTACACTAAGAAAAAAAATTCCTGCACTCCACAGAAGGTATGAATAACTTGATGTTATATAAGTTTTCAATATTTATTTATTTACTCATTTCATATTGTTCATAATTTTTTTTTAACCCTGAAGACTGAACACTGAAGAAGATGACAGAGAATTACAAATTCATTTCAGATATCAATCCAACTGAAAAGAACTGGCAGACAAAAGTAATTGTTGCCGAGAAAATGTCTCCTAAACAAGCAAGAAACAGCAATAGCAAATATCAAAATATAGTCCTCATGGATTTCACGGTAAATACCTTCATCAATATCTTTTAGTATAGTTAGGATTAACATATAACTTAATATATTTATATCATTTTTCATTTCTTATTCCTTATCTATAATAGGGAAATATGGTACATACAACATTATATGATGGAAATATCAGTGCATTTGAGGATGAGCTACTCTTAGGCAAAACATATCTTATCTCCAATGCAATTGTGAAAGATACCAAGCCTGAATACAAAGCTTTAAATGGTGATTTTCAATGGACAATAACTGGAAAGACTCGAATCCAGGAATTGAATGAGAACAATATGGAGTTCCTCTTCTCGACATATACATTCACTCCTTTTAATGAACTCGAGAAATACATGGATTCAAACGACGATATAAGTAGGTTTCTAATCCTTAGATTTTTTCTTATCTATACCTTTTATTTTCCTTTTAACTTTCTCCTTTATTATCTATTGGTTTCTTATTATATATAATGTTATCTAGGCATCCTTGCTATTGCTATTGATATGAAGCCAAAACGTCTCATTCAGACAAGATATGGAAACCAAACATATGTACAAGATATTGTATTGATTGATAAAAACTTCAATACAATTATCTTAACGATGTGGGACAGCTATGTTGAAAAGGAATGTGTTCTCATTGCAGAGAAAATTGTTAAGAAACCTATTATCTTAGCCAACCGCCTGAAAGTTTCATCCTTCAATGGTAACCACTTAAACCTTTCTATGTAATTATTTTTTATTCATGAAAAATTTATGTTAATCTATATAAAAAACTGCAGGTCTTACATTGTCAACAAAAATTAACAGCACGTTTTTCATAGATGCTACATTTAACAGAGTCACAGACCTTCGAATGTGGTAAAATATTATCATATACTTTCCATTACATATATATTATCAAATATGTTACGCTGATAAATTATATATAATAATACAAGGGTGGAGGCACATATTGAAGAGTTGAATGAATTCACATTGGAGAAATCACTTACGATCACTCCAACCAAACTGTCTTCTCCAAACGACAAGAATTTCACTGAAATACAGAATGTAAAAGGGAGATTACTAGGGGTAATTTATTTCAATTATATGAATACTATTCATTTATGTTTTTTATTCTATTTGTGTTTATTTATCAATATTTCAACAGCGCAAATACTTCTGGATTAAAGCCAAAGCAACTATCATAGCAAGGAAACAAAATTACTGGTATATGTCTTGTGTTAACTGTAACAAAGTCAGCCATGCAGACTATGGTGAAACTTTTGCTTGTATCTATTGCAAATATCCTTCTTCTAAGGCTGTTCCTAGGTAATAATAAATACATAGTTTATTAATACATACTATATTTTGTTCAATTTGATATATATTTACTTGTTTCGATCTTCAAATGATAAAATGAGTTTTTTTTATTATAGAGCAACTGCTAACGTTCAGCTAGAAGACACCAGTGGAATCTTGATTGCAAATGCAATTGGAAAAACTGCTGAGATACTTCTGAAGCATGATGCTGAAAGTTTAATGAATTGTTCAAAAAAGGTAAGACATATTATTCTTGTTTTATATTTTTATTTTAGTTATTCATTATAATAATAAAAAAAATAAAATCTTTAGGGCAATGATTTAAACATCGAAGAATCTGCACAAGAATATATATTCTACATGAAGGTGACACAAGTGGAACCAAACACTGCTGAATACAAGTATGAGCTTGTATTTGTGCTTGATGCATCACCTGCTACTACTCATCCAATAGAGGAAACAAGTGATAAAGGCAGAAAATCTCCATGCCTTGCAGATGACAACATCTCTGCTACTATTCATCCAATAGAAGAAACAAGTGATAAAGGCAGAAAATCTACATGCCTTGCAGATGACAACATTTCTGATATTCCTGACATCTCACCACGACGTACAAAAAGATGTTCCTACAAACGTTCAACTCTTGCTAACATGGATGTTGTCACCAAAAACATTACCACCAATCCACAAAAAGATGCTGCCGCGGAGAAAGGAAAACTGGACTAACCATAGTCTTGGATACAGCATGAATGCTACAACCTAAAAGATTCAAGTGCTTGTTTTGCTATTTTCATTTGAATCAATTCAGCCAGTTTTTGTTTTACTTTGTAGCATCATGCAGGGAAAAACTTCAAGGCACTTTTTGACTTGTAACTTAGTTTTCAACTTTTCTATAAAGTTGATGTAAAAAAATAACATGCCTTTAGTTTATGGGTCATAACTCATCTGATAAAGTTTATCATATTTTGAAATATATAAAAGAACCTTGTTTACTATTAAATATATCTTTTATCATCGTTGTATTTCATAAGGAACTTATGTTGAAATTAATGATATTTGCAATTTTACAGCAATAATTTCAACCAACTAATTAAAATAATTAGTTACATAAACAAAAAAATTTATAGCTTTTATATTTGTTAATCTCCATTAAAACTTAAAACCAATGAATAACAATTGAATTCCTTTTTAGATGGA